TTGAATAATCAATGCTGTAACCCCCGCATGCGTGCCTCACGCGTTCCCGAGTGCCGCTCGTAACTTGGCGGAAGCGTCGACAATCACAGGGGTCTGGCCTGTTCACGCAGGCATTCGCGGGGTAGGACGTGGAATAGCCGAGAACCGGTGAGCGAGGACAAACTTGATGGCGGTCTGCAAAAGTGCGCGCCTTGACACCGCCGTCGAGTTGATCGTCTGTCACGTGTGACCGATTACTAGAGTTACTTAAAACTCGAAAAAATGCATGTAACCAGTGGAAGAGCCCGAAAAGTGGATGAATCGAATTTGATATCGGAGGGGACTTTTGGGCAAAAACGCCACGAATCGTGATCAAAAACATGTTTGGGGCTCCAGAGCACCGAGTATATAATTGTGTTCCAAGACGAACAGACTCTCTCTCTATCTCCCTCTCTCGCTCTCCTCTCTCCTCGCTTGTGCAGCAAATACCACCGCCGTCACAACAGTAAAGACACAGCACACAGTCATAACAACGCCGCCGCCACCGCCGGTCCCCAACCAAGCTTTCGGGCACTGCCCGGACGATTTTTGTTGTGCTGTATGCATATCAACGCGTACTTGAGGTTGCTGCATGCTGCTGCGCTCTCTCTCTTCCCCCCTGCCCTCCTCTCTCGCCGTGCTCCTTTTTCTTTCTCGCTTGCTCTGGTGCTGCCATCGCACGCAAGCACAGACGAATTAACGAACAGACACAGTTCCACAGGCTCGCCGCGTAGCTAATGAGCTGCCCCATTATTTTGTGGGAGGGAGGGCGGCCCTTCCTAGTCGTCACGGCGGGGAGGCTGGAGGTTGTTGTTGCCGTTGATGCACAGAGAGGGTGTGCGTATATTCCTATCTGTCTGTCTTTTCCAACCTCTCTCTCGTTTTCTGTTTGGCACAAAAAAAAGGGAAGAATGATCAACGGTTTGTTATCATCAACGTGCCCGAGTGCCAACGTACAGAGTGTCAGCTAGCGTGAGTTGGGGGCGCTCTTGGCAGAGACGAACCCGCCTTGTCCGTTATTCGTTCACTACGTGAGGGTATGCGTATTCGTACGGCCGGTGCACAACAATTTGTCCAATAATTTCCCATGCACAAAGTGCAACTTTTCTCTGCACACTGGTGGTTGTTCGAAAATCTGAAAGTACCGGCAAACGCCCTGTTTACAGACGCAGCCCGTGACGGAGAGTTTTTTTTTCCTTTCTTTTCCTTGACTTTTTACTTCCGAAAAACCGGGAAAACTTGTTTCGTTTAAAGGGGGTGGAGTTTTGTGCCGATTCACAAAAACTCAACGGATTTGGACAGATCTCGGAATTCCGCACATGGGTATTTTCTATTTTTTTCGAACTCTTGGAATTGAAGGAGTTATCCAGGAAAATCTAGATCTAGAGGGTCAAGTTGTTTCGTTTACAGCACAATAACTAACCAACCGATTCCAAAATAAACAGCGGCAAACGATTCCTCTCATCAGTCTCTAGATGGGTATTTTTTGTTTTTCCCGGGAAAACTCTGGTTCTCGAGATATCCCACATTTTGTCGTGCCGTGCTATCGGAGATTTTTTTGCTGTTGGGCAAGACGCTCCCACAACAAACTGGCACACGTGGCGGCCCGAGCAACACGAGACACGCACGCAAGCAAGCAAGCAAGCACCATGGCACGGCCAAAGAAAAAGAAAATCGGCAAGTGCGGAGCCGACGGCCGGGCGGTTCCGAAGAAACCGAAGCCGGCGCAGCAACATGATCTTCCGTCACGCGGCGCTGGTGATGCGCTCTCCGACGGCCACGACAGCACCGATTTGATGGACGTATAGTGTAGTCTACGTGTAGAGACGACTGTGTGGAGTGTGGAGATTCGTTCACGTGTATACACTCCCTTTCTTCCCCTCGCTGCCTCGGCAAGGATTTGTGTAGGCATGACCCTTAGCGAGGGGGGGGGGTCTTTCTAGCGAGCAGGGCTAGACTCACCCTCAAGGGACCGATACCTGCTTGCTGCGGCGCACCCGCCGTGAGGCGTGCGTAGTGGTGGAGTTGGGTCGGTACTGGTGCGTCAGGTACAAAGGTGCAGATGCGCGGGCCTCCAGGCCNGAGGAACCGACTGGGATGGACAGCAACGAGAGCGTGTCCGAAGCGGAGCGGGTCGAGTTTGTTCGTGCTAGGACTGGCCACAGCGGCACCGTAGCAGCGGCACCGGAGCAGGCGGACGGCATCGAACCGTGGCGCACGGACAAACATGACTTGTGTTGTCAATTATTTCCCTGATCATTTCTCCGTTTTTTTTCCTGAATACAGGTGTTGGGTGTGTGTGATGACGTCACTGGTTTTGTGGAGAGACGCGGCAGAGATGGCGCGGATAACCCGGGTGCCTTAACTGTGTACCTGCATCGTGGAAGACCCCTTCAATATGGAACGATTCCTAGTCAGTGTCGATGTTTACACTGCTGTGCTCAACACAGATGATCTGGATAGATTCGGGTGATTGTCAATTGCAATGATGGCTTTGGTTGGGTGTTCTTCATTGTATGTCCACAGGCTCATTCTGACAGCACTTCAGACAGCAGCTGCATGCCCCGAGCTTGTGTACCATGCACCATGGTGTTATTATTGTACAGACAGCACTTCAGACAGCAGTACGCTGTAGTCGACATTCATTTTGGTTCAATGCGGGACAAGGGGGGTGATTCTGCTGCTGCTGCTTTAGTCGATTTGTAGTGTGTGGGCGTGTAGTTCAGTTGTGAGCATGCAAACGTGCTGCAGGGATTGCAGGTGTACCTCCTCGGGCTTGCGTACCCTTTCTTGCTAATAGCGTGTGTGTTCTTTACATTTTTTGATGGCTCTAGCATTTTTGTGACCACGGACCGAGTCTTTGCTAGATTTTGGGATTAGCAACTGACACGAGTTAAATGTGAAGAAGAAGAAGAAGAAGAAGAAGAAGAAGAAGAAGAAGAAGAAGAAGAAGAAGAAGAAGAAGAAGAAGAAGAAGAAGAAGAACAACAACAACAACAACAACAACAACAACAACAACAACACATTGGCGTGCTTGACCTTCGAGGGTGTTGTCGAGCAAGCGCGGTATAGCATCTGTACAAATGCAAACAGGGGGTGTCGTGGTGTATTTAGAGCAGGTGGTAGAGGGGAAGAGGGCTCTACGGGGGCACGGTTAGGGGGGTCCGTGAATGCATACGGGCTATGTCGTGTTCGGGGCTCCGTGTATGATTTTTGCCAAAAATGTTGCATATCGCCAAAAAACAAAAAATTCTGCAGCTATCGACGTATCTCGACGAGGCGGTCACGACTATCGTTGTTTCACGTTCCAATTCTTTTTCCAAACGAAGTTATCGCACAAAACGTAATTGGACACATTGTTGTGCACGGACTATACCACCTTGAACAAAGATACTCTGATTTCGCTTGCTGCTTCTTCAAATTTGGCTGGACCACAACGGCAGCCTACCTGCCCAACACCAGCTGTCCGAAGATATATTGGCGCAGGCTAACAGTCCTGTGTTTTTATCTTGTGAAGATGTATTCTCGAGTTTTGCATCACGAGAGTTTTTTACCAAAAATGTATTAAGCAGCGAAAGGCCCAAAAAAGTCCCGCGGGTCCATGAATCGAGTTTGAAATAAATCTACTGTACCAACTCCTGCTCGGCGAATGCCTGCGTGGCGAACAGGCCAAACCCCTGCGATTGTCAACGTTTCCACCAAACTAGGATCGGCACAGGTGAGGTACGTGTGTGTGTATTAAACGCCCCCGTCGGTGACCCCGGGGATGGTGAGGTATCGGCCCCTCCCTGTAACGACGCAACGAAAACAATGAGCGTCCTTGATAGAGGTTCGACAGCTGTCAATTTCACAATACCCCAGAACACAAACAGAAGCAGTTCCTGCCGTTGTATTCCAGGCAAATGTCCACTTGGCTGTTATCGTTCGTCAAGGGTGTGTGCGAATCACCAGTCTCTAGCTACTGCTGTGATTGTCTAGATCCGCTGTAGCATTTCAGTGTCACGGTGAGCGCTCATCGGTGTGGGATGAAGGAAAAAAACACTCGGGACAGCAGAGTAGTCGGAATCGACACAACAGCAGATATTCGAACGGCACCCGCGTACCCACGCACCACGGCGAACACAAAGGGTGGAGAGCGGAAGCTACTGTAGGTGGTCGACTATGCGTTGATACTGCGGAATGCTGTTCGAAATTTGGAGGCAAGGCCAACGGTCCAAACAGGTGCCGGGAGTCCGCCAGAAACTCCCACCCGTTCTGCTGCTGTATTGAGGGATGGGTCGATGTGCTTCGACGCCCCCGTTTCACAACTGCATATTCGACACACAAAAACAGAAGCAACATTGTGAGGAGGAAATGCAAGCATTCAGCAGCAGCAGCTTTCCCCCTCATATCTCCAGATGCTCACCTCGAGATACGTCGTGATGCTCACAAGGCTCTTGAAATACTCGCTAGCCAGGATGGTCTGGGCTAGGAGGGTGTTGAGATTGAAGGTGCGATCGTTCCCGTGGATCGGGAGGACGTTGTTGTGCAGCTCCTCCTCCTGCCGCTGTTCCTCCGTCAGCTGGTCGTCCACCTCGGAGAGAAAGCCCGCGGGTGCCGAGGTCGGCATGGGTAAGGTGCCGGAACGCGCGGACCTAAAGGCCTGCCTCTCGAGGGCACTTCGTGACATGGTGTTGTTATATCGTGGTGTCTTGCCTGCCTCCCTCTTTCGTCTCTCTCGGCGTTACTTTCTCTCGGCAGTGAGAACTGCAACGAATCCTTTGTGCCGGAAAGGATTCCGATGCACACACGAGCACCGCTGCTGTCGACGCAAGTACAACAGCGAGCTGGGCTGCTGTGCGCCAGCGCGAAGCACCAAACGGCGTGGCAAGGGATGACGCTGAATCATGTGACGTACTAGTCAAGATGGCCTTCCATTCTGGCGAGCCTCTCCTGCCAGGAAAATTGAGGCCAAAGACTATGACATATAATAACCTGGTTATTATATGTCATAGTCTTTGATTGAGGCAGCACAAAAGCACCAGTGCATAGGCCTAATCAGTACTCTCTATCCACGTCTCTCGTCTCTCAATGATGAGTACTTCGTTCGCCGCGGGTGTACTGGCTTACATGCTAGCCACCTTTAACGGCGGCTACTTGTGGCACCTGGTGCTATTCAACGACATGTACCTGTCTCTCAAGGTTTGGACAAGATTCCCGGAGGACATCGGACTTCAACTGGGAGCATCAGCGGTACTTCTTCAGGTGGGAAGAGAAGAGGAGGTAGCCATTACTTGTACAACAGCAAACACGCCAGAGAAGCTGCACAGAACATGCATCGCAATACGTGTTGGCTGCTGTCCCAGGGCCGGGTGGGTCGTGTGGGTCGTGTGTTCATGTTTGTTTTGTTTGTTTGTCTTCGCATTAAACCGTATGTCAGTTGCTAAATGCCAAAATCTAGCAAAAGACTCTCAGCCCGTGGTCACGAAAGTGCTAGAGCCATCTGAGGATCTACAGAACACGCACACATCTGACGAGAAAAAGGTATGCAAGAGCCCGAAGAGGTACACCTAAAAATCCCTGCAGCACCGTATGCGTGCCCAAAAACTGAACTGCACGTCCGTCCCACCGTTCGACTACAGTAGCATCACCCCCTCCCTGTCCCACTCTATACCAAAACGGAAGATTGCCGACTACAGCATAATGCTGTCTGAAGTGC